CGTGAAATTAGTTGCCTTGTCGGTTTTCAGAAAGGAAATCTACCTAGTGGTGGAATGGTAGGATGTGCACCTAGGTAACAAATGTCGTGAAATTAGTTGCCTTGTCGGTTTTCAGAAAAGGAAATCTCCTAGTGGTGGATGGTAGGATGTGCACCTAGGTAACAATGTCGTGAAATTAGTTGCCTTGTCGGTTTTCAGAAAAGGAAATCTCCTAGTGGTGGATGGTAGGATGTGCACCTAGGTAACAAAAAGACATTAAATGATAATCTGATAAAGGTTTATTAAAAAGTGAATCTATTTATATATCAGAAACAACGAAGATCGAGTACATTCAAAGACATTGTTAGAATCAATGTAATCTGAATACGTTCTGGAATAAATTGCTTAGACAAACGTTCTTATATAGCTTGTTTGCAAGAATTATACTCGTGTACAATGGCCTTAAGTTAAACAAATATTTCAGGCATAAGATAAACAGTAACTTCTCCAAGTTATTTGTATAAAAATACATTTTCAGGGTATAGTGAATTATGATACTTTAACTTAAACAACACAAGTAACGATAGAATGTGAATTTCTATCACGGAATAACACGCACAGTTCTACGATGTTAACCAAGATTATTTGTATAAAAAATACATTTTCAAGGTATAGTGAATTATGATACCTTTACTTAAACAACACAAGTAACGATAGAATGTGAATTTCTATCACGGAATAACACGCACAGTTCTACGATGTTAACCAAGATTATTTGTATAAAAATACATTTTCAAGGTATAGTGAATTATGATACTTTAACTTAAACAACACAAGTAACGATAGAATGTGAATTTCTATCACGGAATAACACGCACAGTTCTACGATGTTAACCTAGATTATTTGTAATGGGAAATAATTGTTTAACTTATAGTTTATAAAACAGCAACATCTTTCATTTACAAAGTGTACTGTAGTGTTGCTGTCTTTGTATGCTTATTAGAAAAAGATAATCATATAGTGTGGAAACAGTAAACAAAATACGGCATTAAACGTGGAGTGCAATTTCACTTTTAACTTACTATTTTCGGAAAGTTTAAAAACATGGTGTTTTTACTTCGAGCCTTCATTGAATTGAAGTGGCACAGCGGGCCGGGTTTCGATACCCTTGGTGGGTAGAGCACAGAATAGCCGATCATGTAGCTTTGTGCTTAATTACAAAGAAACAAATTCATTGAATTTATTTATTAAGCCTAGAAGTATAAATTTGTTTGTTTGTTCGTAATAAAACCACATGCAATTGTTTTTTTACAATAGTGCAACATAAATTAATTGCAAGTGGTAGTGCCTTACCCTCGGAAAAAATAACTATCATTGAAATGATTTAGAACTATATAACTAGTACGAAAATAATTTAACCTTAAGAGAGAGACACATTCAGGAACTTATAAACATGATTATTTATAAAATAACAAAAAAGGATAATAGCTTATGTAATAGAAATTACTTTGAATAAACAAAAACAGTCGTCTCTAAAAGTACCGTAATAAAAGCTAGGATTTAGAAACGTTTTTCAAGTATGTTGAAGTTATAGACAGAGCGAAAACGGAGCGTGCAGATATTCAAGTTAGTATAATTCTGGAATAAAACATGTTGTTCTTTTTTACAGACTATGTAACATAGCACGACACTTCAGCTAAATATCGCAAAACACAATTAGAATAAATGCAAATTGGCATTTTTTAGTGAATATTCCTCCTTTTAAGCATATTTATTAAATTAAAGATCCTCAACACTCTTATTTGGGTTGAGAGTGGCCAAGTGGTCAGTGTGCTGGACTGTGAATCCGAAGTTTCATGACCAAGTAGTCAGTGCGCCGGGCTGTGAATCTAAGGTTTCATGGCCAAGTGGTCAGTGTGCCGGTCTGTGGATCCGAGGTTTCATGGTTCAAACTCCATTACAGAAAAAATAAATAAAAGATCACTCTCCGCACTTTGACGCCGTGGGTTCGTTGTAAGAAAGATATTCAAATTGCCATAATCTGTTAGGGTAGCCCACAAGTTGGCGGTGGGTGGTGTTGACTAACTGCCTTTCCTCCAGTCAATCACCTCAAATATAGGGACGGCTAGCGCGGATAGCCCTCAAACAGCTTTGTGCGAAGTTCAACAAACAACAACAACACATAATCATAACTAAATGATAATACATTTTCATTGCAAACACAAATTTAGAGATCGTTCCAAGATACACCAGGAAAGTTCACGGGAATGAACTTATGATAGAAAAATCAATCAGCTAACAATGCGTAACTCACGCTATCAGGAAGGGATAGGTCTCTTGTTCCACAAACTGGTTTGCTAGCCTGCTTTTGCTTTGTTTTTCTGTTCCTATTCTGTCTCCGCGGTAGGTAAAGTTGTAACTGATAAAGAATGAGCTCAGCTCACGATGCTAAAGCTCTTTTAATTAAGTAAATTTCATAATTTAAGGTTAATTACTTTTGGTGTTATGTGTTCTAACCTTTCTTAAATACTAATTACAATAATAATTAACTTTTGGGGGTTCTCTTATTTACTGATAACGTATGTTTGTTCGTAGCTGTTGTTTCTGAACAGTTTTTTTGTATCAGCATTCAGATAAGAAACATTATTTACGAGGTACTATGTAAAACAAAAATGTCAGCACACAAGGGCACGTGTCAAGTTCGTTAAAAATTACACTTTCTCTTACTGCGTGTAAAAACGGAGAATTTTCTTTTCAACTTTAACCTTTATTCTCGAAAAAAAAAATTAAATCAAGCATATCAATTTCCGTGTTAATTAAAACTCCAGAATATAAGGTTGAAATTTGTAGTCATTTGATTGCAATTTATTTTGAAACTTCTATGTAATTATCATCTTCCAGGCCTCAAGTTACAAGGAAATGGGTCGTGTGTGCTTTTAGAAAGTCCTACGTTTGTGGATAATCGCACAAGTGGATTTTTGAAGAATATCAGAGAAGTTAGTAATGGAATGGCCCATAATTGTATAATAGAATAAAAAAAATTAGTATTTAAGAGAAAACATTTTGTAGGAATTTAGAAGAAATAATTCCAATCATGCAAATTTGTTTTTATTGTTTTATTCATTGTTAAAAGCTCAATATGCTAATAAACAATGAAGTATTTTGCAATTTTAAAGAAAAAAGGCCTAAATCTTGTGATAAAAATTTCGTTGACTATATATTTTTTCCGCATTCATCTTAATTTGGTCATTGCGAATCCAAGATCAGAGGCGAGTAAATATAGCATTTCAGATTTATATCTTCGGTCTTCCACAAATCACTGCCCAAGAGGCCTTTCGTTAATACCAGAACTCGTCAGTTGAGTTGGATGATGAGAAGCAAAATATTCTCTGAAATACCTTTTATGTATACAATCTAACTGAGGAGTTTTTGTAGTGCCTCGTAGGAAACAAAAAGATGGATCTGAAATGCTATTTTCACATGCTTCTTATTTTGAGTTCACAATGGAAAAATTAAGAGGAATATGAATAATAATAATATCCGCAGTTAACATGATTTCTATCATAAATATTGGCTTGTTGTTTTCGAACGTTTAAATCGTATATTTTGAAATTTTATTTTCACTGGTGAATTTATGAGTCTATTTCAATGCTGAGCTGGTGTTTTAAGGCTTACAAAATTAAATAAAACCAAAGACTACCATTAGGAAATAGATAAAGGAAATGGTTAGCGTGAATCCGATTGCGAATCCAATGATCCATGGTTTGCACCCCATTGCCGCTAATCGCATTCCGTACTTTGGAATTGTGGGCATGTTACAAGAATGATGGTCAAAT